AGGGCCCCCTCGACGCCACGGCAGCCGACTTCTGGCAGCTGGTGTGGGAGCAGGGCAGCGTGGTGATCGTTATGCTGACGAGACTCACGGAGAACGGACACGCCTTCTGCCATCGCTACTGGCCTGAGGAAGGAAGCGACCTGTATCACATTTATGAGGTGGGGTGGATGCGCCATGTTGGGGGTGGGGGAGGGTTGTGTAGGGGAGGGGGGCGGTGCTAAAGGGAATGGTAGGGGTGAGGGAGAGACATACCGATCCTCCTTTCATAAGGAAGTTCCAAAACTAGCAAAGACAAAAACAAAGCACAGAAGATAAAAATCTATAATACTAACAACCCCCCATCTAGCAAACTAGCAAAGACAGAAACAAAACAAAATATAAGAAAATGATAATACTAACAAACTAGCAAACTAGCAAAAACAATAAAAAAAATCAATAATACGAACTTGCACAGACAAAAAAAAAGTAAAATCTGGAAAAAAATAAAAACCAACAATACTAACAACCCAACCACCCACCCGCCACCCAAACAAACAAGGCAATTCCCTCGTTTCCCCCACAGGTCCATCTGGTTTCGGAACACATCTGGTGCGACGACTACCTGGTCCGCTCTTTCTACCTGAAGAACGTGAGGACTGGAGAGACACGCACCGTCACGCAGTTCCACTTCCTCTCGTGGCCCGACTCTGGCACTCCGGCGTCCACCAAGGCACTGCTCGAGTTCAGAAGGTAAGGGCCAAGGGCGGGAGGTAGGGGTGGGTAGGGGGAGGAGGGAGGGAAGAAGAGAGGGAAAGGGAGAGGGAGTGTGGGGGAGTGTGTTTGTGTGTGTGTTTGTGTGTGAGAGAGAGAAGAGCGAGGAGAAAGAGTAATAAAAAGAAAGAAAAAAAATCTACGAAGATGCTCCAACCCGAAGAAAACACCCGCCTGTTCTTCCTCCTACCCCCCTCCCCCCTCCTCCACCTTAACACCCCCCCCCGACCCCAACTTCCAACATGGCGGCCCGACACCATCGAGAAACCTCCGGCGAGCGATGATCATTTTTGTGATTTTTGCAATTATGTATTTGATAAAAATTGCATAGTCACAAAAGTGATGGTCGAGGCCGGACCCTGACCTCCGAGAAAGCTTCAGGCCGAGAAAAAGGACTTCGTGAGTGAGTCTCGATAAGTCTTGGTGAGTCGTGAGTGAGTCGACTTCCTGGTGAGTCGTGAGTGAGTCTCGAAAAGTCTTGGTGAGTCGTGAGTGAGTCGACTTCCAGTCACGATAAGTCTTGTGAGTCGTGAGTCAGTCTCGATAAAGTCTTGGTGAGTCGTGAGTCAGTCTCGATAAGTCGAAAGCGATAAGTCTTGAGTCGTGAGTCAGTCTCGAGTCGTGAGTCGTGAGTCAGTCTCGATAAGTCTTGGTGAGTCGTGAGTCAGTCTCGATAAGTCTTGCTGAGTCGTGAGTCAGTCTCGATAAGTCTGGTGAGTCGTGAGTCAGTCTCGAAGAGTCGTGAGTCAGTCTCGATAAGTCTTCTCGTGAGTCAGTCTCGACAAGTCTTGCTGAGTCGTGAGTCAGTCTCGATAAGTCTGAGTCGTGAGTCAGTGAGTCTTGACAAGTCTTGCTGAGTCGTGAGTCAGTCTCGATAAGTCTTGCTGAGTCGTGAGTGAGTGAGTCATTTTCTTGAGTGACTGGGGGTGTATGGGTGTAGGAAGGACGTAAAATAATGATTAGAGTGATGTTTAGATTGCAATAATACGTATCATAATAGTCTTAAGGATAGCAATGATGATGAAGATAATGCCATTCTTAGTTGCTGATGTTAGTAGTAAAAGATCATCACATATTCATCAGATTTTATGTATATTTATATATATGTACATGATAAATGAAAATGCTGATAATAAGAATACAATTACTACTACTATTACTGCTACTCCTACTACTAATGATGATAATTAAGCTAATAATGATAATGATATTGATGATGGTGGTAATCATGATTATGATAATGATGATGATAGTAATAGTAAATAATGATAATGGTAATGATGATAATGATAATAATAAGAGTAATGATGATAATAACAAAAGAGTAAGAAAAAATACAATAATGATAATGATAAAGAAAATGATAATGAGAATCATAATAATAATGACAGTATTAATAATATTAATGATTAGAACAAAACTATCAATAAATATGATGATAACAGTGATAATCGTAATAATGAGGATAATGATATTAATGATAACAAAAATGATAGCAATAATAAAGATAATGATAATAATAATAGCATTGATATGAATAGTGATAATAGTAATAATGATAATAGCAATAATGGTGATAATATCAATGATTGCTTATGATAATATTAACAACAATAATGAAAATAATAGGGTAGATGGTGATGATAATGATATAAATTATAATTGTAGTCGTACTGCTAATGATAATAATGATGATAACGATAATAAGGATAATAATGATATTGATGTGTTAATGATAATAATACTGATTATGGTAATAGTAGCAATAACAATGAAGACAATGATAACACATCAATAATGATAGTGGTAATGATAATTATAATGATGTAGCAAAATGAAAATTACCAAAATGAAAATAATGCGATAACGATAACACAAATATTTACATACAAACTACCCAAAAAATGACACAAATTATTCCAAACGTTATATGATATATGTTAAGAATAAGGATTAACCACGTGACCTGAGCTGACCTCCTTCCGTTTCTCTCCCTCCGCAGGAAGGTCAACAAATCATACAGAGGGAGGTCGTGTCCCATCATCGTGCACTGCAGGTACGTGTGTGAAGTTTTCCATTCATCGTATGTGTCTAATCACCAGTTACCAGTCATTATTTTCAATCTCCAATCACCAGTTAATAAATTTCCAGTTTCCATGCTCCAATCTGCAGTCACCAGTCACCAATCATAAGTTAACAATTACCAATCTCCATTTTCCATTTTCCAATCTCCAATCACCAGTTAGCAATTGTTAATCTCCAGTTTCTATTCTCCAATCTTCATTCACCGGTCACCAATCATAAATTAACAATTACTAATCACCAATCACCAGTTAACAATTACAAATCACCAGTTTCCATTCTCCAATCTTCAGTCACCAGTTAACAATCACCAATCACCAGTTTCCATCCTCCAGTCTTCATTCACCAGTAAACAATTACTAATCACCAGTTCCCAATCGCCAATCAACCCCATAACTCTCCCATTCCGCATATGCAAAATGAAAATAATCTCGCGGTCTCTGTGGGTTGTGAAGTATGATTTTATTTATCATTCATTTCCCAATGTATAGGAATAAAAATGAGTTATTGAGGAGTTAGTTTGTTTTTTTATTCCTATTTTCATTCATAGATTTTTTTTTTACTACTTACATTGTTCGGTAGTTGGCTGGACAAGGGAAAGGATGTCATTATTGTTGTTAGTTATAGGGTTTGGAATATAGTGTTGAGATCTGGTAAGTGGATTGGATTCTATATAAATGTTTATAGCGCCGAGGTAAAGGATCACGGAAGGAGAGGTGGAGTGGGGAGGAGAGGGAGAAGGAGATAAACGGGGGAGAAAGGAAAGGAGGAGGGAGAGCCCGACAGGCAGATAGGCAAACAGAGAAGGGAGAGAAGAGCGAGGAGAGAAGAAGAACGAGAGAAAGAGCGAGTAGAGAGAAGAAGAGAGAGAGAAGCGACGGAGAGAGAGAGAGAGAGGAGAGAGAGGAGAGAGAGAGAGGAGAGAGAGAGGAGAGAGAGAGAGAGAGAGGAGAGAGAGAGAGGAGAGACGAGAGAGAGAAAGAGAGGGGAGGGAAAGAGAGAGAGAGAGAGCGAATGAGAGGGGGGAGAGAGAGAGAGAGAGAGCGGACAGGAGAGAAAGTGGACAGGCGCGAAAGAGAGAGAGAGAGAGAGCGAACAGAAAGTGTATGTGTGAGGGGCGAGGGGGGAGAGGGGGTAGGCATGATTCAGCTTGTCACATGATAGTTCGGCTTTATGCTCGCCTCGCTCGTAGGCACCTCCGCCATGCTGCCTTTGGTGCCATCAACTCAATTACTCTCTCGTCAGCCCTTGTTATTTCTGGTTTTCTTATCTCGAGGCACAAGCACCTGCGCGCGTGAGTGTGTGTGTGTGTTTGTGCGTGGTTGGCGAGGTGAGTGTCTGTGGATGTAGGTGTGTATGTGCTTTTATCAACTTTTTACTACTTGCGTGTTATCTTTGATTCTAAACAAAGAATTCCATAAAAAAATAGATAATAACTAAATAAATTATTTTTTATTTTTATTTTTTTTAATAAATAAAAGACTTTTTAAACTATGGGATAGTATAGCATATGTATTTCGCGTTTTTTCTTTATTCCCGTTTTCCTTAATTATCGTTTTCTTTTATATCCGTTTTCCTTTCGGTTTCCCCTTTGCTTCCCTCCTCCTTTCTTTCACAACGAGCTTTTTTAGTCATTTTTTTTCTCTCTCTCTTTCTAGTCGAGACCTTTTGGTGGGAATAGAGGTTGTCCTTTTTCTTTTTCTTTTCTTTTCATATTTCTACTTCTGTTGTTGAATGAACGAAAAAAAATGAAAGCGTTGGGGAAGGTCTGTGTCGAAAAAGCGCGCGAAAAAGTGAAAACCTTGCATTCAGCGCAGAGACCCCCACGCAGGACGGGTCAAAAATTTTGCATCGGAAGGAAAAGGTTTATGTATATTTATTTTGGCTTTTTGATGTATATTTGACTTTTTTAATATATTTATTTTATTTTGTCTGTTATCTTTGACGTCAAATAGCAGCATATGAGTATTTTTGGCCTGTTTATGTCATTTCTGTTTCTCGAGTATAATATCCATGGACTAAATGCGAAATGTTCTTCATACAAATGCATTTGCAATGTCAAATGAATACGCACACGCACACAGACACACACAAAAAAGAGTCCCCCACACAAACAAACAAACAAACACAAACATACACACACAATCACACACAATCACACACACACT